ATATGCATTTCGTATAAGCCTTTCAGTAGGTGTAAACCCCGGGAGAGAGTTCAGAAAACACTCCATTAAAAATAGATACACTTGTATCAGTTTTGTTTCAAGCCCCTTGCTTTTGATATTTACAATAAAGAGAAAATAACACTGAAGGAAGTGCTTGGCACTTCGGAAACAAAGTGGCCTGTATTGATTTGTATTCTATACAGAGAGGGTAGAGAGTGTCCCCCAGCTGCCATGGAGGCAGGGACGGTGGGACAGTGTCCCCGAGGCCTCAGTAAAGAGGAAGGCAGGGAGATTAAAACTCTTCTTGCTCAGCTTTCAGAAACAGGAGGCAGGAGCCTTCCTGGGCACTCCCTGCTGAGTCACCAACAGGCAGGGACTCGCTGGGCCCGGAGTTCTGTGCTCCCTGCCCACCCAGTGGAAATCAGAACCCAGCAGATGCCGAAGGCCAACTCCCCGGGCCAGTGCTGTGGGCTATTAACCCTTCAGCAACAGGAAAACGTCCCTTAAAACAGGGCAAGGCAGAAGTCAGCCTGCAAACAGACTCTCCCTCGACTTTTCCTTGAATCTTATTTTTTGCTTCAAGAGGCAGCACAAACTCTGCACCATGGATGAGCACATTTTTATTCACAGAGTCAAGAGGGACCTGAGGGGTCAAAGTGAGGCTGGGTTAATCTTTAACGCCCTCTCATGAAGCCTGAAAAGGAGCCACAATATATAATCAAAATGTTGGGTTGAAGCCGTATGATTTTGAGAACTCCAGTATTCATGAATGTGTACTTCAGTAGTAAAAGTACAAAAACAACTCCAAAAAAGACAGAGAGCTCTGGATAGCATTTCCCTACAGAAACGGACCCGGAAATGGGGTGTGTGTGTGTGTGTGTGGGGTGTGCTTTATCTGTGACCATGTAAAATGTAAAATGTTCTCTGTTCAACTTACATTATGGTCAGTTTGTAAACTTTCTGTATGCTTGAACTATTTTATAATTTTAAATATTTTGATAGAAAAGAAAGAATGCACAGCCAGACACCAGAAAGCTGAGGGGGATTCTTTCTTCTCAGTTCCATGACAGAGACACACAGAGCTGTGCTGGGGACAGCAGCCTGGGTCCCAGAAATGACCTCGGCCTCTGGGAGGTATGCCTAGCCCACCTTCGCCCTGCTGGCCTGCACCAGGGCTCCGTGCAAGGGGCCATGCCAGCAGGAAATGCAGGAGCTGATCGTCTTTCAGTGATTCATGTGCACTACCAGTGAGAGCCCCCCAGGGATTCCAAGTCGTCACATCCCACAGAGTGTGGCTCGGGTTCTGCAGCACTCAACCCCCAAACAGCTCCAGCCCCTTCAGACTGGCTCCTGACCCTGGGCTCCTGCATGTGAGGCCGCACAGGGACTGCTTGCCCCCCGGTGCCTCTAGGGGACAGCACAGTGGGCAGGGAGAGCTGCATGAGGTGACGGGAGAGGGGCTGCAGGTCAGGAAGACAGCGCCCACCACGCTTTGTCTGTCTTCAAGCCTGAACAATGCACTGACTAAATATGGAGCACATCAGGGCTCAGAAGCACATTTCTCTCCACACGCGTGAATGCCTCTCCGAAGCGCTGCAGGGATGGGTTTTAGGGCGGGCCTGGGTGTCTCATAATCCTCCCACCGTGTGACAGGGTCCCCGGAGGACACACACTGTCCATGCATGGTGGACCAGACCCTGTGTCCACCCTCCCTTCTCCTCTGTGATGGCTCCTAGCAGTCAACAGAACCTCTGCAGCAGAGATGCAGTTGTCGGATAGGGGATGTCTGAGATGTATGACTTTTCCTCTTTTCTGTCTTTCTCCTTAATGTCCACGTAAAGTAGTTAAGAGATTCTAGGAGAAATTATTCAGATACTATGATCATCGTCTTGAGAATAAGAAAGACCTGCTAATACTAATCAGGAAAAGCATGTGTGTTTATCAAGTAATACATGTACGTGGACAATTCCACGCCATGGACGAGATCCTACTTTGGAAAAGGATGCAGCAGTGTACGGTGAGGCTGGTTCACAGCTAGGGTGATCCCCATCAGGGGATGTCTGACAATGTCTGGGGACGCGGAGAACACCCCTTTCGATGCCCAAGTGTCAGAGGAGAGAGATTTACAGTCCCTCTATGAAGTGACTGGTCACCCATCGGAATCCTTTATGGAAAGACTGTTATAGGGACCCTGGAAGAAAAGCTCCAGAAGAAAGGTCTTCACAATTTCTCTGTACTTCCCTCTCTCTCATCCCTCTGATGAACAATTTCTAGAACAGAATTATTTCCCTTAACTGTTAAAAACAACAGAGCCACTTAAACTCTCAGTGAACAACGCCAGCCAGGAGCATGGGGCCGCTTCAGGAGGTCCGGGCGGGGAAACCCTAAGTTCCTCCTTGTCTTCTGACTGGACAGGAATTTAGGAAAGACATGCCTAACTAGCAAATGAGACTCTCCAGCTGAGGCTCAATAATGACCCATCCTGCAGGTTTATATTTGGACGTGCTTTAGTATTAGAGTTTATAGACTTCCCACTAAGCATGAAATGCCTTGCTATAGGTATGATTTGACAAGAACACCTAACACCCATTAAATTGTTTCATTTCTGAATTATTTCGGGACTGCTCCCAGCAATATGTTTTCTGAAGAGGTGGAATGAAGATGGAGCTTGAACGGATGAAGATTTTTGTTAGCAAATAAATTTACAACATCAACAATGTCGCGTGTTTGTTAGTATCAAGAGCAGGTGCTGAGCCACAGAGCCTTAGAGCAATCAGATTTCTATCTTATTCTTTCTCAGAGCTGGGGATGGAAGCCAGGGCCTCCAGTGCACCAGGCAAGAGCTGCACGCTGAGCTGCACCCAGCCCCTCCCAGGTGGGTTCCTAAGTAGCTGCAATCAGCCGCAGTGCCGACAACTTCCAATGAGCTTCCCACAGTGCACATAAATATTCACACGGCACACAGCTCTGATGCTCCGACCGCTGCTCTGTCCCCGAGCCCTCTCTCCCTTGCCTTCCGGAATTTTCTTCTCTATGCCTTATCTGGCCATGGTGCTCATGTCCTGTCCTAGGACCTCACTGCACACGCTCTCCAGGAGAGGATCCTGAGCACCAGGCTGCTGGAGGATGGAAAGCTACAGTCCTGTGAGAAAGGCCCGTTAATTCCTCTCCGTGCCTCAGTTTCCTCACAGGCACTGCACCTTTGCCCTTCGGGGTTGTTACAAATATTAAAAGAGACGAAATGTGCATGATACTTGGCAAATCACTGACTTTCTGTGAGTAATTCCCTTCGGTTTTTGGTGTTCCCGATTCCTCATCCAGGCTCTAAAGGATTGAAAGCCTTGAGCCTGTTGTGATGGGTAATTTTAGGTGTCGACTCAGCTGGATTAGGGGATACCTAGAGCACTGGCAGGGTATTATTTCTGGATTTGTTTGTGATGGTGTTTCCATCAGTGGAGGCCCAGAAAGAGCAACAAGCCAGAGAGAGACATCTTTCCCCTCTCTCCCTGGAGCCAGGTCACTCCTCCTAGGAGGCCAGAGCCCTGGGCTCTGCAGCCTTTGGACCTCTGGAAGTAAACCAGCAACCTCACCATGCCCAACACCCCTGGATTCTCAAACCTTCCGTCTTGGGCTGAGAGTTACACCACTATCTTTTGGTTCTGAGGCTTCTGAACTTGGAATAAGCCATGCTACCAGTACCTCTGGGTATAGCCTGACATAAGATTTGGCCTCTATAATTATGCCAGCAGCTCCTGCCATCCACTCATCCATCCACCCATCCACTCACTCCCTTCACCCACCCATCCATCTATCCATCCATGTACCCATCCATCCATCCATGTACCCACCCATCCATCCATCTATTGGTTCTGCTTCTGTGGACTAAAGATGGTGCATTTACCTGTCTAATTACCTTTAATAGGGAAAATAGCCTTCATTCCACAACGACAGCTAAAAGCCTTCACTGAAAATACGGCTCATAGGACTAATACTATGGTTGCATTTCACTCAAAAGGTAAATAATGACAGCACAGTACTTTTTCTTTTGTTTGAGAACAAGGATAAGAATTAGAAAGGCGTGGGCCTGGAAGGGGTGTGAGGAAAGAGAAGAAACAACACAAGCCTGGCAAAACCAAAGAGCCATTTCCTTCTGGTGCAGTTCTGCCGCGGGCGAGACCTGCTGAGCACCGACTTACACAGACAAAGTGGCAGAAAGTCAGGAGCCCAAAGCATGTTCTACATTAGGGTGTGCACACCCCATGAAGCAGCAACGATGGCTTTTTGGCCTCAGCTTCGGGCTACCGAATGAATACGAAATGTTTATGAACAATTACACTGCATCGGTGGGCTGGCTTTCCTGCAAAAACATTACCAAACTGGAAAGCAAAGCCTGGCCTAACTTAGAGAATGACATTCTCAGTCAGATCAGTAAACAATGACAGCACCTGCATGGAGCATGAAAATTCAGCCCAAGAAGACACAATGCAGACAGAGGCAGGGACCCTGGGTTTCTTCGGAGCATACAGAGGCGTCCTCAGTGAACCTCTGCAGGACCCCTCGAAGCACACACTACCTCTGCTTCCACCTTGTCCCCATGGGGACACTGAGGCTCAGAAGTGTGCACAGCGCACTGACCAACAGCACACACCGTGATTCACACACGCAGTCACTGCTCTGTTCACTGATCTCTTTGGAGCCCAAACGAGGCGTTTGTTTCAAAGCGCTTTTGAAGTTTGAGGGTTTATCGCTCAGGATGACCAAGAAATTGTAAGTTTCTCAGCTGATAGTGAAAGCATTTCTACTCGATGGAAATGTTAATGGCTTTAAAAACCCGTCCCTTCTATTACTATGAGACAGATTTCCATTTGAAAATTATAACAATCTGTAAACACTTCTACTTAGCAGCGAAGGCAAATGGAAGTATTTGAAGCTGCTCTGTGATTTGGCCTTGAGGAAGTCAAGTCCCTTGGGACCCCCGCAGGGAGAGACCCCAAACTCACTTTGACCTGAGGGTAGGACTTCTTGTTCTTCTCGCTGGATGCCCCTGGGAGCCCTCCGTGTGAGGGGCCTTCGCACACATAACGGAAACGGAATCCTCTCTGCAAAGGTGAACACAGGGCCAGAAGCATGAGAAATACGCCTTAAAAGAGAGTAACAAAGCAACACGCACATTTCTAAGGCTGATGTGTGCCGGATGAAAACAGGAAACTGCCGAGAGGGCCCTAGGAAGGACAAGACCCTTCTCAAGGTCACCAGGACGAAGGTGTGACCTGGAACTTGGGCTGGGAAGTCCAGCGGCGTCCCCACGGGTGGGCTGCTGCAGCTACGCCTGACGCCAGGGCCCCCTCATCTCAAGTTCCTGCCGCAAAAGCTCAGAGCTTCAACACGGAAGGTAGCGTCAGGCTCCCTCGACTGTGACTGAGAGGCATTCATTCTGTATCCGCACCGATGACAGCTGACTTGGGGGGACTGCAGAGGCATCCTGTAGGATCCACTGCACACCCTGCGCCGCCCTGAGCACTGCCAGGCTCCTCTCCACAGCTTGGGGGGGCTTTAATTTCATGATGATGAAGCAAGGAGCTCAAGCTTATACTACCTGGCGTGAATGAATGAAACCCAGACGGTCCCCTTGCACTGTCTGATCCGGGAATTTTACAGATGTGGTTCATCCATGAAGAGGTCGCTGGAAGCCTCTGCCATATGAACGGCTGTGGGAAGACAGACCTAGGAGCCCTGTTCTCTGGCAGACGAGAAGGCCACTCGACACCATCCTGAAGGCCCACTCTGCGGGGTCCGCTTCTAACAGCTCATGATCCATGAAGCTGGCTTAATTATAATTCTGCAGCTTTGTATGCAAAGAATAAAGCAAAGACAGTCCTGCAAGTAGACCTCGTAGTCATACTAAGGAAACTTTCCTGTTTCTTCCTGAAACATTCACCTTCATAATGATGTCAGTCAGTGTGTGGCAGTCAGTGGCTTGGAACTGTGCAGCCACTTAGCTGGACGGTTTTAAGGTTTTCCATTTCACCCTCTGGTGAAAAGAAGAGCGTGTTAGCATACTCTAGGAAGCAGCCTCACCTGTTACTTATTTTTACTGTGGGACAGGTTTTATAGGAACGCTGGCAGGCCACTGAACCATCAGGAGCTTCCATCCCCGTTACCTACGGGGAGGGTTTCTACAGACCCAGCGAACACAAAGGTTTCATGAGCTCTGAGCTCACGGCCCAAGCTGCAATCTGCCCACCTTGACTGGAAGACAGTTCATTTTGCCTCGTAGAATCGGGCGTTCTGTGAGTGGCCCAGGTGCCTAGAACTCTTCTGAATTTCCATGGAGCTTGGACAACTGCCTCTACTTTTTGAGGGCTCCTGATCTAAGATGGTCCCACAGATGTTCTGCAGGTGAGGAAGGGCTGCAGGGTGCAGTCCAGGCCCCAGTCTGGAAAGTTTCTCCAGGTCACATGGTCTCCAGCATGCTCCCAACTCACACAGCAAGACCTCAAGCAGCTCTTGCTTCTGGCTTCTCTGAAGCCCCCATGCCTGGATACCAGGGGAGCCTTCAGAGATGAAGTTTTAGGAGTGATTCTTCTGTTTTGTATCTCACAAAATTCAAATTACAGAATAAGCTACAAATTCAGCCCTATGCTTTTTTAAGCGATGGCTGTTGACTTACTTTAAATAATGAAATAGAATTTCTAGAGGCGTGAGAAACCAACAGCATGTACAGGAGCATCCAGAACTGGCTAACCACTGAGGTAGAGATTTACTTGACTGCTAATCAATTTAAACACAACTTCAGTTTTAAAACAGAATTAGCGAATTAATCTCAAGCCATCTGCAGCAGAACTGGGGATGCAAAGATCTGTAGACCATGCTGTGACTCATCCTTGCCACAGCTTGGAAAACCTGGGCCAGGAACGTCCCACAGCAAGAACATTTTTCTATCTTTAAAAAAATGACTGAAGCAATTCATTATCTTTAATCGCAAAATCCCTTTGAGGCACTTGGAAAAGTGCACGTGTTCACTTTTATATGTTATTGACAGTGGAACTGAATAGACCCTAAACAGGCATGACTTCACTTTGCGCTCTTTGTTTGGAAAACAGCAGATCTTACTCTGGGGTGCACAAGAGCAACTCAATTTCTATGCAAGCTAATGTTTAACCTGGACATGGAAATTTAGAATTCGTTTCTTTAGGAAGATAAGATGTCTTCAAATGCACGGTCTGGGTGTGTTTGTGAGACTGACTTGCTGAGATTCAAGGTTCTTCAGTCCCCAGCTATTGGTCCCGGCCACTCCACTTGCTTCAGGTGAGTCACCAAGCCCAGGGGTGAAGCTCCCCGCATCCAGACAGAGTCTGACTCCAGCATGGCATCACCAGAGTCAGGTGTCAAAGCAGCGGCAGTTTGGTAAATAAACACCGATGCACGCCTGTGAGCTCTTATGCATTCACATGTGATGACCTGGATTCTGAGTCCTGGAACTACACTAACCCTGCAGGGAAATCATGAATTTTTTCTTATGGCTGCTGGGCCCACAGTAAGGAACTGCATGTGAAAGGCTTATTGTGATGCTATGCTTGTAAAAATAGGTATCTGAAAAAGTAATTTGGTGTGAAGACAGACTCTGGTTGATTAGTTTCATAAAACTACAAGCTAGGAAGTTTTCCAGGAGGCCACATCACTGTGTAGAGTTTCAGAGGATGAAATTTACCGGGAGAATGGGAGACTGTATGTGAGAAGTCACTGCTGTGGAGCGGGATGTGGAGGTAAACAGAGGAAAGCACTGCTGGCAGCCCGTGAAGCTGGGACCTGAACCCCACAAGCAACTTGAACAATGCTGAAGTCCCACGTGGGGGTCCCGTCCCCAGAGAGACTCTGTCATCTAATTCAGCCTCATGAGGACCATCCGGCCATCGTTAAGACATCTGCCGGGCATCTCCGCACAGGTGAAAGGTCCTACAGGCAGACAGTAAGGATTCCCTTCCTTCCCTTCACAGCACCGGAGCCCTGTGATTTCCAACAAATACTTACACTCCGGGTGGCACTTGGTTTGGAGAGGCCATTTCTACCCTGAGCTTAGAAGAAGAACCGGATAAGATAAATCGCTCTTCTCCTGGCTCTAAGAGCTTGGTTCTAAAGCTAACGCCACAGGGAAGAGAATTCTAACATTTACATTCAGCAGCACTGTTAGTGCCTCAAGCTACATGTTCCGTGGACAGAAGGGAAAAGGCTGGACCTGCTGGAGAAAGGAGGGGTGGGAAGGACTACACATGTGTGGATGTGAGCTGCGTGTATTTCCTTATAGATGAAAATGAGTGGAAATAATTCATGCCTTCCCAGGAAAGGCTGATAGCCAAACTGGTGGAGAGAGCAGAATAACAAGGATCTCTAATTAACCGGAGTTTCACAGAACTACACTGAGGTTCAAGAAAAATGAGTAAGAGAAATGGAAGGCGGACGAGCAAAGTTGTTATATAACTTGGTAGGTTGTTGATCTTCCAGATAACCTACTTCCTCTATCGAATTTATTTAGTATTTTTCAGTGCTTGAGGTCTTAACGTTAGAGCAAGGATCTAAGATTATAGGGAAAGTCCCACCCCTTTAATCTTCTTACCTGTTTAGGTTGCTCTAATATTTGAAGGAATGGACCATCTGCTAAAAACAAAAACAACAAACAGAAACCAAAAGACACTGTGAGGCTTCTCAAATTTGGTATAAAATGTAAAGCAACTCAAAGTTATGTTTTTAAATAGAGCTTTCAAATCAATTCTATAGCTAAAAGTTCACGAGGATGCAATTTCTCTTCCTGGTTTGAAATATCCCATTTACTGCTCTTGTGATAATTGCTTTACAGTTTTTGAGGGCCACAGTAAATCCGAGTTTGTGGACTGCCCCACCCAACAGCGGGCTCCTGGTTGGCAGGGATTGCTGCCTTCGAAATCTTGTCTCCAACAAAATATTCGTTAAATAACAAAAACACCAGTTAAAAGCAGCAAGCAGTTCCCAGGCACTGTGACACAGTCTCCCGTCTTTATGTCATTAGACGCTGACTTGTGTTCCCGCAGAGCAACTGAGCAGTGTGACATTAAAGAGGTGACACAGACAGCATCTTGCACCTGGTTCTGCCTCCGCTGCCTTTCTGCTCTCTCCCCTCACCTGATGCCCTAGGTACTGGTACTGCCTTCATGACCTAACCCTAACTGGCTTGCTTCTCCCCTCCCTCCATTAATTTGGTCCATGAAACACGGTGCACTTTTCTTATTAATCCACAGCTTTTGATGTTAATATAAAATGTCTGAGTATTGAATTCTCACAGGAACTCCACTCCCCCTCCTCCCCCCCAAAAAACAGTTGACCATAAGTACACGCCAAGTGATTACTGTGAAAACATAAAGAAGCAGCCAGGGATTTAGCTCAGTGGTTCTGCTGCCTGCCTCGCAAGCGTCGGGACCCAAGTTCGATCCCCGGTACCAAAAAATAAATTCTAGGGGCTATTAGACCCTCTGCCAGGCTGAGTGGCATCAGACTGGTTCCTAAGCATTGTGCTGGTTTGGAGGCCAACCATGCCATGACTCTCTGTGATGAAGATGAGAATTGTGGTTTATTAAGATGTTTGGTACTGAAAACATCCTGGAACCATGGGGCCGTGATGCTGGAGTTTCCAGTCTTTCAGACTTGTAGATAAATATATTAGTGAGGAGACAAACCTTCACTGAAATTCAGATAAACTGGAACTTAAGAGAGAATTTAGTTTTGTCTTCTCAGCATTATGACGAATCAGGATAAACCTAGGGAATGTTAGAAAACCGAAGTATGATTATTCAGGCAGTTGACATGGAAGTCAGCTGAAAAATGACCGCATTGGAAGCTAAATGCGCAGCAGAGAGGGAAATCATCTTCCATCTGTACGGAAGTCAGCCCTGAACATTTAAAACTACTTTTAGAAAAATAGCAGTAATTTTAAAATTTAAAAAAATGGCCAGTGTTTGAGTTTTGCTTAGGAAATAAAACATTAAACATAGAAGTATTTTCACACCATTAATAACATAACGAATGTAAACAAATTTCTGCTGGGGTCTAAAGAGCACAGGGAGAAGACAGCTTCTGAGAAGCCATGTGTGGCCCGGCTTCACGGGGCACCACTTACCTTGCTTCCAGCCCCTCCCTTCTCAATACTTCCAAAACTACTTGCAAATCTGATGACCTTTTTCTGCAGGACTTAATTTCCTTTAAACATACGAAACGCCATGTGAAACACACCCATTTTTCTCCTTGAGAGCATGCATTCGAAGTTAAATCGATTAGAAACTTAGACTTGATGTGCTTATCTTTGTTCGAAGGACAATTTTGGGCAGGGGCCACATCTGTTCTACAAAAGTGATGCCCCACTGTGCACAGAAATATAAACTACGGACCTAACAGTTATACCATAACCCATAGTTTGCAACAAGCAGTACAACAACTGATGGTTTTTGATTTAAGAAACCCAGATGATTGAAAATATCCATATGGGTGACAGGTATGGTGGCACATGCCTGTAATCCTGGAGGCTGAGGCAAGAGGGTTGCCATGAGTTCAAGGCCAGCCTGAGCTATACAGCGAGACCCTGTCTCAAAAAACAAAAAAAATCCATATGGAAACAACAAGTTAGTATTGGTTTAGACAACTTCTCGACTCATTTAAAATTTGACTAAATATCCCATACATCTTAAACTCTAAAATCTAAACTCGACCACTGCAACAGAGAGGGAAGACATATGGATAAAAATTGTGGGGTAGTAACTGAAAAATAAGACTTCTAGGTATAATTTTGAAAGCTTTTCTAATACCATGGCCACATAAGTTCCACAACATGAAGCTCTGACCTCAGAATGTTGACTGATGTGGCTCTTTTGATACTATTACTTCTATGCACATTCATGTAAAGAAAAAGAAAACATTTTTCAAGAAATCTGCCTCAGGACACTGTTTGGCATTCACAAGGCATGAAACTGATAATCTACATTTCCTGAGGGTGGAACCAAGTTCTTACATTTTCAATAAAGCATTAATACTAAGAAAAATACTTTGAACCCCAGAATTTAAAAGTTCACAGGAAACACTGATTATCGAGACACTTGCCCGTTTACAGGAAATTGACCCAGCGCTCAAGTTGGACAACACATCACAAGATCTCAGAGATTGTGGCCTACATAAAGTTTTGTGGAGGAAGGAGAGAAAGGCTCTTGTTACGGCTGTGTCTAGATGTCCCCCCACAGCCTCATGCAGGCCTAGGTGGGGGTTTTCAGAGGTGGCTGGATCCAGGGTGTGTGACTGATTAATGGTGCAAGGCTAGCATTAAGGGTGCTAGGAGGAAGGGTGAGTGACTACTAAGCTGGTCCACTGATGCGCCTGGCACTGCCCTAATCCTGGTAGCCTGGATATGACAGAAGGGACAGAAAGAGGCTTGCCTTGTCCCTTGTTGCTTTGCTACCTTCCCACCATGAACGGTTTCTCCTCTGCCACCCATCCTGCCTTCGGGGCCAGCTGGTTATGGACTGAAACCTCTACAAACTGTGAGCTAAATAAAGCTTTCCCCCATTAACTTTGGATGTCAGGCATTTTGTCTCAGCAGTGAGAGAAAAGTAACCCAGAAGTCTCTAATACAACTTTTACTAGTGAAGGTAAAAGTGTAGCAGATGTACTTTCTTCCCTCCCTTGAACTCCTAGGACTACTGAAGATACAACTGCAAAACAAAACAAAAACAAACAAACAACCCACAAAAACTGATCTAATCAATGAAAGGCAAACACCAGAGTAACCGCAGTGGGTTTAGGTGAGTGATAAAGTAGGGTGGAGTCTCCCTAGGAGACAAGCTATGTTAAACAGACGCCTGCTGTCCGCCTCTGCAGTCACCGAGCTCTGCATCCAACATACAAGCTCCAAAATTAGCCTCACTGCTTTGACATCTAAGTCCCACTATGACTGAGCCACGAAACAAGGCAATAAAAAGGCCCATCCCACCACACTTGCACAGACGCCGACCATTAGTAAAAGAGGCCAAATGAGCTGAATTTCCTAGCATCTAGATTATATAAAACAGTTTGTGAATGCAGTCGCATTAGAAGGATTAGTATTGTCAGCTTTGTCAATCAGTCGGAATGCACAGTTTGAAGTTTTTTAAAAGATGTTTTTTCTGCCGAGGTGATCTCTGATATTTGTAGCAGCTGACAGGCAGCAGGCCTCAGTCAGACCCTTGAGGAACAGAGCTGAACAGCTGAGACTGGAACGGAACAGAGAGGGTACAGAAGGAAGGACGCAGCTGGGCTGGGCAAGAAGGAAATCTTGATATTAAGTAAGAAATTCCTTCTACATTTCCCAAGCAGGTATTAGCAACCATGGCTGCTAGTCCAACAGGTAAGTGAGGTGGAACCCTTTTGTACACATAACTTTCAAGAAAGTAAATTGCAAGGTGATTGGCGTTTATTTTTTTGTTTTCTTGGTACCGGGGATCGAACTTGGGACCTTGTGCTTGTGAGGCCGGCGCCGGAACCACTGAGCTAAATCCCGGGCCCGATGATTGGTGTTTAAAACATAAATCACTTCCTTCCTATGGACATCACTGAATTTCTACAAGAGACTACCAGGAAATCTTGCAAGTACTTTAAAAAATGAAAACAAAGCCACAGGGCAAAAGGGATGTCTTTTCTTACCTGTCTGCAGGGGCATCTCTGGTGGAAATAATTCTGGGTTAAATATTGCATGAGTCAGAGGATTCAAATGAAACATCTGTAAAGAAAAAAATTTAAATCTCGCGATCTTTTCCCAACATCATATTAATAATGCCAAGTAGCAACTTGTAAAAAATTAATTACAAGAGTGAAAACTAAAGACAAAAACAAACATCTGAAAATATCCTAAATCAGGATTTTAAAATCCTTTTATGAAGCCTAGTTAAGCTCTCATGCCCATGGACTGCAGCTGACAAAGGGATTTGAGAGGATCAGCTCAGCCCTCAAATCCCAAGGCCAGGACCTAGCCTGGCTGCTCCCTTGCAGGGCCAACTTCGTGCTGGTCACAGGGGGGAGATTTAATGTTTGTGGAATGATGACTCGCAGCTCCTTCTCTTTGAAATATAAGGAAATAGTCCTAAGAAGCTGTATTTCTTTTATGATGGTAAATATCTGATCTAGCCAATTTCAAGGGTACATCTCGTAGGACGTCCCCACTCCTCCCATGTGGTTCACTCTGCCACGTGAAGCTGGTTGTTGTCCCATCTGACCCCTGACTACATTCTGCTTCCAGCACTGGTGTCTGTCCACCTTACCAATGAGGCACATCTGTCCCTAGTCACCAAAACAACTGTCCAGCACCTATCACAGTTCTAGACAGCAGGCCTGGGACAGTTCACAGAATAACTGGAACACAGCTCGAAGTCTAAGGGCCAGGAACCAAACCCTGAGTGCACACATGTTTTTCACATCAAATGCAAAAGGTGTGAAGTTGCATGGGGGGGGGGTCAGGCTGCATAAAAGCCCTCCAAAGGTGCATGTTCCAGCCCTGAATCCCCGAACCTGTGAAAGCAACTTCAAAAGGAACTTTGCTTATGTGGCTGGTGAGGATGTTATGGTGAGGGGATTATCCCAGATACCAGTGGGCTGCAGATGGGAGGCTTAGGAAGTCAAAGTCTGTAGTAAGAAGTGTGGCGTGGGAAGCAGAAGGTAGGGTAACAGGAGGTTCCCAAGCCAGGGCCACAGGTGGGCTCCGAAGGTCACAGGCCAGGATGACGGCTTCCAGCAGGAAGACAACCCAGTGCTTTCATTCAAGCCTAGACCACGGGAGAATAGACTTACGCTCTCCTAAGTCACAAGTTTATGGGACTCTCTCTCTCATAGCAACAACACACGGCAAAAAAAATCAAAGCAGCAAGCACGCAACCTGTTCTGATGGAGTTAAATTTTCCCTCTTAGTACATTCAAAACTTTAACTTCCTATTTCTGAGCTTCCTATTATTTTCATTCCACGAAAGTCACCTCTTTGAAAAGTTTGTGGACAGCACTAGAAACTGACCTTCCTTCACTTTCTGAGAAAGGCTGATAAGTGGGTTGGAATCAGTATTTAAAAAATAAATCCAAGTATTACAATTAGTCCCTTTGCCCTTATTAGTAAATTATTGGATGTTCTTGGGTTCCTCAGAACCTCAAATGCCTAGTACATCAAGATAAGAAAAGGTGTTTAGATCAAGAACACTTCAGATCCTCTTGTGAGTAATACAAATTTTCAATTGCAGAACAGAAACATGCATCCAGCTTCAGTTGTGAGTAAGGCTCACTGGTATGTTCATCATTTGATGGAAAGGAAATACAGGAACTTGAAGACGTGTTCAGGAAAGATCAGCCCCTGACCATGGCGCCCACTGGTCTCAGAAAGGAAAGTGACCCAGAAGAAAAAGTCCCCTGTCCCATGGCCCTGCAGGTGGCTGAAATGACCAGGTCAAGGGCAAAAAGGCCAGGAAGACAGAGCCTGTGCTGTGTGACAGCCGACACTGCCAAGCAGATGGGGTGGACAGTGAGCTCCACCTCACACCACAACACTGACCGCATCTCCCCGAGGACAGGTGAACTTGAGGACATTAAGCTCAGGACAAGGAAAAGAACTTCAAGGACCTCTCCTCCCAAGGATGGAGACACCAGAATACACCCCACCCCTGTTGCTGATGAGCACAAAACCGCCCACGTAAGACACTTTCAAAATGAGTGTCTTCAGCAGGTTTTACTCCTGTGTGGTACAGGACCATCTCTTGATAAGATTTCCTGTGTGCAGAAAGGAAAGCACACTTTAACCAAGAAGAGGCAGCCCTCACGCTGGTTAGAGTTTGTCTTTAACTGTTAGAAATATTAAAAGTGAAAGGTAAAACAAAGGGTTTTGATGACACGAATAGCCAGATGTCTTTCATGGTGCAATCAAAGAAAATGTTCCTAGATTTATCTGATATCACCATTTTTGCAACAAAATTGGAAAGGAGCAGATTCATGTGAAAAGCAATGCACTTTCATTCTTTCTAAAGCAACTAGAACATTACACCAAGAACAATGCCTGCTCTGTCTGTGTCTATTTTATTTACAGAAACAACACCAGATCCCTCAAAAGTATTTCAGTTTTAGTTTTATTTTCTGGGCTGATTCTGGGCATGTGACAATTTGGAAAGTGCATTGTTTTAGATGGTTGCACCAACATTTAAATGTGACAGAAGGTGTCTCAGACCAGGATGTCCTGGAGCCCGGAGTTCCCTCTCCTGGTCCAGCTTAGCCAGCTACAGCGCTCCAAGCTCAGTGCACACAGCCTCCTTTACAATGTGCTCCCTACCTCTTGCTTTCTTGCCCCACTGCTCCCAGGAATCCCTCTGGACACATCTGTCCTCTCTGTGTGGCACGGCCCCCGATCACCCCTCGGACACTGTGTCTCTGTCCCTCCTACAGGCACAGCAGCTTCCGGAAGTCAGAGTGTAATTTCTTATTCTATGTCCCTACTTATTTTGATGTATCATCAATGTTCTAGTGCATAATAAGGCTTCGATAAATAACAGGAATGAATGTCAGTGCTTTAAGTACTTCTTAAAATCATTACATTCAAAACAATATCACCATGGAATTACTTCAGAGTCTGAAAATTGCTTTTAAGTCGTTCTATACATATAAAAAAGAGAGAGAGAGAGAGAGAGAGAGAGACAGTGACAGTAGCAAAATGTTAATGACCAGCATAGATTTGTTGGACTATACTACTTTCTTGCAGGCTTGGAATTTTTTCAAACTAAAGAGCTGGACACTATTACCCTTTCCTAACTGCTAAATGTAGCAGTTTTGTGCTCTCAAAGCACACCTGTTCCATTCCCCCATGTAGTCTTTGAGCCCCTGTGCAGGTGGGGCTGGCCTTTCCGGTTTTCAAAAGGGAACAAGTAGGATGGGGAGGTTCGGATTCCTGGGATTGAAGAGCTAATCGATCAGCAGCAGCGACATTCGTACAACAGTCTCCCAATTCTAAGTCCAGAGGTCTTTTCCCTATACCCTCTGCCTCCTCACTAGAAGAGAGTTAAGTGAATATTTCGCTGGGCTGTGGTGAGTTGAACTGTGTCCCCCTAAAAAGAGACCTGTTTAAGTCCTAGACTCTGGTAGAAATGCGGTCATGGGAGAGAAGCAGAAAGATGAAGTGTGAGGTGCCAGAAAGAAGACACGGAGATGCAAGGACATAATATGACACAGGGGACGAAGGACACAGAGCCAGGGGCTGAGGCGCCACCACTGCAGGCCAAGGTGTAACAGTCGTCCTAGGGCACTGGTACAGTGGCTGGCGTGTGACCGGTCACACACACAATGTTTGTGCAAAATACGTGTGATAGGGCGAGTGACCCACTTTACACGAAATGTCTGCACCGGTCTGATCCCGGAGGGACCAGGAGACTTAAATTAAAATAAAAACTTTTTAAACCAACTTTAGAGTTTTCCTGACACTGACTGCCTTGTGTGGGCTCTGTCGATTTTGAAATGTGAACAGATGGAAATAAAACTGCCGGTGAGATGGCAGTACAAAACTTACTTGTTCGTGCCCTCCCAGGTACGAATCATCTTCCGTCATCCTGGAGCTGTGTATTGAAACAAAACAAAACACAACTGAAATACTGGAGCAAGTCTCAGAAAATCCAGGGACAGAGTGCACCCCGAGGTCAGCCCACACAGCACTCTATGGACCTCAGGGGGGGCAGGTGCAGTTCCTGTTTGGTTTCTAAATCTGACATGGGGACATTGCACAAGCGAGGGATTGCCATTTACGCAGGCCCCAAGCCCCATGCTAGGCTCACAGTGCCTGAGTTTGGTACAGCTGCTCTGATTCTCTGTGTAGAAATTACACACACTTAGATTCTTCAGGCTGTTTCTTTTTATCACACCTAAACTTCGGATTTGGACTTAGCCTTGATGTGCATTATCTGTCCACTCCGTGATGGTCCCAGAATGGTCCCCACACTCTCTGCAGTGCTGGGGTTGGGGAGACAGTAGAAATACAAAGTTACAAACTTTATACCGAGGCTGTGGGGTCAGAAATGAACCCACCCGGCCCCATCTTCGAGAGGTGAAGGGCCCCTGGGTGAGGTTCAGGTGTCTCTAAAGCCGGGAGTGAGCACTCAGCATTCGCTTGGATAAGAAATACTCTTTTCAGTATTTTAAGAAGTTAGTTTTATTTCAATTCATGTAGATTAAATTTATGATACGTAAGCTAAGAAATGGTAAGTTTTTAAGAAGATGAGGTTGAAAACAAATATGAATTCCTGAAGCAAATTCATGGATTTTTTCCCAAAGTCTGGAACGCTCGAAGACCACTCAAGCCTGCAGCTGGACACGACGTGCTCAGTCCCCACACCTCCTGGGACTGGGTGGGGCTCTGTGTGACACGGGGTTAAAGCTGGTGTGGAGAAGCCCTGGCTCTGCCAGAGGGGACAGTGAGTGCCCGGGGCATGGCAGATGATGAGACTATGAAGCCTGGGTCCCTGAGCCACACCCGTGGGACACAGCAGCTGGGACCGTCTGCAGCTCACACTGGAGGGCCCAGTGCCAAAACCCAGACCTGATTCTGGGGGGACCCTCTTTCCCCAGAGCCCTGCACGCCTCCCCTGAGTCCCGGGGGGGGGGGGGGACTGGAGCAGTGCACGATTTCAACCGTGCCTCGAGCAGCTCTGAGACCTGCACCAGATGCAGTTCCTGCAGATTTGCAGGGAAAAATTTGCCGAAGACAGGAAACTAGGGACTGAAAATATTCCAACACCGAAATTAAACATAGATCTATTGAGATAAACAGTTAAGAAAAGGGAAAACTGACTTGCTGCAATGAAGAGGAATGGTCATTTGAAAGCCAGGAGCTCTGCACTCTTCGGTGTGTGGCCTTGGATATTAACTAGACCCGCTGTGGCCCTGGTTTCTCTTTCGGGAAGGTAGAGATTTGGAAAGGGTGGGCTTATGTAAAAAGTCGAGCATTGATGAGCTTGGAATGTGTGTTAGCTAGGAAACGCCTATTCAAAGAACATATCCTTTAAATGTCCAGGCATTCATCGGTAAACTTGGATTTTTTTTTTGTTTTGGTGGTGGCACTAGGGACTGAGACCAGGGTCTATGCACTGAGCTACATCCCAGCACCTTTTTATTTTTTGTTTTGAGACAAGTTCTTACTAAGACGCTAAGTTGCCCCGGCTGGGCTCAAACTTTCAATCTTCTTGGCCCAGCCTCCCAGAGTGCTGGGATAAGAGGCGTGCCTCGCCACCCCTGGCTAAATCCACCCCTGGTGGATTTCTATATGTATTTATGAGTGTGTACATGTAAGTGTGTGTATGTATATATATATATATATATATGTATAAAAGAGTTCTTAGCATAACTTCCAGCTATATAAATCCTACTTTAAAAAGTTACATTGACGCGTAACCCTAACACCAGCCACAACAGCCTCGGAGAATCCCAACCCTTTCAACACCACTGGAGCCCACATTTCCAGAAAATTTAAAAGCCATTTTCTTGGCTTTAGTCTTTCCATTAATGGGGGTGATTTCCCGAGTTTTTCCAACAGTCTTCCTGAGCCCAGGGGAGATGTCAGCTTATGAAGCAGATGGACCCACCCATTCATTCAGCCTGCATGAGGCTGGTTATGTACAAACTGAATGTAAAGTATACTGAATTAGCAGAAAGTAGCTCTCACTCTAACAATGCAATTGCAGGTGAGGGGTGCAGCTCACTGGTGGAGTCCTTGTCTAGTGTATGTGAAGCCTTGGGTTCAATCCCCAGCACTGCCAAAAAAGTAAAAATTAAATTGAAAATTTTAATGAAACCTACTTTATTAGGACTGTGCTAGACAGAAGGCCAAATCAAGCAGCCTTTCCTCCACTAACCCACCCAAGAGCTCCCCACCAGTGTGTCCTCAACAGCACAGTGTGGAAGGCCCGGGCAGCGAGGATGCCTGGTGACCTCTCAGGGCTGAACTTGTGCAGCCCGGGCAGAGCTGGGAGGCGAGAGGAGCCCCAGGGTGATGTCGATGTTAACTCGTAGTTTAAAAATAAAATGTCAAAGAAACCAAGAACCACTTGGAAAGGATGAATCACCAAGGAATATTTGCATTAATTGTAAAAGCAGGTTTTATTCGTCAGATGTTGAAACACTCCGAGGCTCTGGACAAAGGCTGAGAAAGGCCCAGGGAAACCCCCTCCGAGCCCCCGCCTGCTTCCTCCCTTCCTCCTGCCCAGCCCTTGCTCTTGAGGAAGGACCCCGAAACAGAAAGGGAGACCTGGGCCAGCGCCCTCTCTCCCCATGTGAGGGGAGGGAGATTTTCACCCCACAGAGAGAGAAACAGAAAATGGAGCTGGCTGGTGACAAGTGGCCACCAGAGTGGTGCGTTTCTCACGAAAAGCTCAATGTCCCCACCAGCCTAGTTCTGCATGCACCATGAGTTCCTTGGAAGCCCAATGGGTCACTGTTGACATGTCTGCGACTGTCCCACCTGTGGGCTCCTCGGCAGCCAGGCTGCTCGGGTTCTCCTGCACTTCACAGCCGCGGGGTGGCTCCTGTTCCTGCATCGGAGACTGTGTGGGCCCAGAGCTGTCCACACCTTCCCACCACCATCCACTGTGACCAGTGGATGCTATTCTATTAGATGCCATTAAAAATTTAAAAACTACCTTTTAAATCCCACTTAACTGAGTCCATGACCACAAAGGACCAAGTTGGCAGTGTAAAACACAGACGGTTAGGTAGGAAGAGTTGGGAATCAGAGGGGAAGTGTCTCTATTTTCCAGATTTTAATCCCTCATCTTGGATTGCAATAGGGTGAAACTGCAAGAAAAAGTGACCTTTCACCATTTCTGTGTGGGATAACAAATTGATAGAGAAAAATATGCCAAAGACTCTTTCTGAGGAAGGATGTTTTGAAGGAAACACAGAAGCAGGTCCGTGCACATGGGCTCTGGGGCAGACAGAGAGCTGGACATTAGCGGCCAGAGGGACAAAAGGAGTTGGTCTGAGGTGGCACGCACTGCAGGTAGGAAACAAAGGGGCCAGCGGGTAACATGTCATAATAGCCTCTGAGTCTCAGACCCTAGGCCACCCCAGGAGCAGTGACACCCTGTTATGGCTGTGTCTAGATGCCCCTCAAAGCCTCATGCAGTCATAGGTGGGGCTTTTCAGAGGCGGCTGGATCTAGAGTTGTGACACTGGGATTGACTCATGGTGCAATCTAGTCTCAAGGGCACTAGGATTAAGGGCGGGAGTGCTACCCGCCCTAAGTAGTCTGGATAAGATAAAAGGGACAGAGAGAGCTGTGGCTGTCTGTTGCTGCTTTGCTACCTTCTGCCTGAAATGAACTATTTCTCCTCTCCCATGCCACCCTGCCTTGGAGCCCGCCAATTATGGACTGAAACCTCTACAAAGTGTGAGCTACACAAACCTTTCCTCCCTTAACTTTGAGTGTTGGGTATTTCATCTAGGCAACAAAAAGTAACTAAGACACACCCTGAGGTCGAAGGTTGTGCACAGCCCTCCTGATCCCCGGCCCCTGGCCCCTGGCCCCCTAACTCCACACAGGCATCCACATTCCTGGCTGCCACCAGCAGCAGCCCAAGGACCCCAGGAAAGGAAGTGTTCAAAGACCCTCCTGCCAGGGCTGGTTTCACTGAAGAACTTATCTCTCTTGAATTTCTTTTGTGCCTTCCTTAGATGACAAAATCCCCTGGGGAATTACTGACTGTCTAAAAAAGACAGGAGGACATTCAATTAATTCCTAATTAAGTTCTTAGTAAAATGTCAATGAGCTCCGTAATCAGTGAGTTCCTGGAACCTAGGAGGGTGCATAAAAAGGGGTCCAAACTCACTCGCCTTCTCTGTATCCACTTTGCAACGAACTCTACCCAGGCTTCTGTCCAGCTGTGTGTCTCGACTGAATTCTTTATCAAGGGTAAAAGAACGGAGGCCCAAGGAAGTGAGGGCCCGGGTCCTCCCTGTGGCAGGACTGGCTTCCTGGTGGCACACTACAGAGAATGTAAAACATTCAAAGCAAAGTAACTTTTCATTTTGCAATTCCACCTTCATGAATCTGCATTAAAGAACTGCCTGAGCAAGAGTGGAAAAAAAAGGATATGCACTGCAGCAAAGAAAAGGAAAAGAGAAAAAGAAGCAAATGTAATGTCTGTTGATAGCAGATTGCTAAATTATAATTATTCTACATTCATAAGTTAAATATTACACAATTGTTAACAATAATTCAGATACATGTGCACATTCAGTAACATGGAAGCTTTTAAGTTATATATTTCTATACTTTAATTTCCTAACTAAATTATGTAAGTGGAAATATATATTATTGGAAATTTAACTTTGACATTTTAACAACTGATGACATAAATGAATGAAATATGAACCAGCCAAAAACTACTAAGCACTCCTGGGATTCTCCTCGATCATAGAACAATAGGAAAGCTCTGGAAAGGCTGTTCATTGACACCTTTCTGACAATATATCGGGCCAGTGATGGTGCAACAAAAACTGACAGTGGATTTAATTGCTCTTTTCGGAAGAGCTGATTTCTGAAAATTTTTGAAAAGGAGTCGATATT